GCGAACCAATTACAATTTAAAAATTAGTGCTCAGGTTCGAAAAAAACTTAATTTTGGGTTTCATAAGGGACTGTACCTGTTCACTCTGTTGCTCTTTCCGTAACTCCCTGTCCTATCGCCATAATTCTAGGTCTGCTCAGCGCTGTGCCAGGTTGCAACTAGCAACACAAATAAATGAATTACTGTCGGAATTACGGAAATCCTGATTTTTTTGTTTCCATTAACTAGGCTACCACAGGAGTAGGGCTGATACTTCTTCAAATTCATGCAAGTCTCGTTAGAAAGTATTAAACTGGCTTCAAAATGGTATATAGAAGGAATGACATATCATTAATTTGTTACAAAAATATCTCGTTTCTGAAAACGGACGACTCACTCAAAAAACAAGACAAGAATTGACGTCTACCATGCTGCTTCCGAAAAGATGAAATCATCAGTTTCTTTGTGACTGGTGATTTGGAGATCGTTCTAGAAACTGGTGCAACCTCACCGACAAGATCAGTACTACGGCCATTTAAAGCGCGTGACTAAATATGGCCCACTTACCTATGAAAAAGAGTCATTTACATAGTTATATAATATTTCAGTAATGTACTGTACAAGTGATTTTTAATTCTATTTTACATATGATTACATATTATAGAAGTCAGTTAGCATATGCTTTATAATTCTATAACAGTTTCGCTCCCTTGAAAACATTCTACTGTACAAATTGCATGCATTTCCTGCTGATGCAATTTATGACTTACTTTCCCGAACAGAAAGCTTATTGAAACATTGTGTATAAACATTACACACGGTTTGAGACTTTCCAACAGGACTGTGTACTTGTACTACAAGTGTCTGCAGGGACCATTAAGTAATCATTTCACTCTGGGGGCCAGTACGGCAGTACATCCTGTTTCTGCACGGTGCCAGTAGCCAGGAATTTATGTTTGACAAACACTCATTTCGTCTGAGTCCCCAAGTTGGTAATAACGTCGACTGTTTCATGGCTTTGCCATTTATATCGAGAGAAATATCTCCATAACGTTTCGTAGTACCCCATGAAGGTATCTACAGGGTTTGTAGCTACATATCCTACTATATTCTTGCGTTACATATTTAAAAATAACCAGTTTTGAGCACTTTCATTTGGTATATTCAATATTATTACACACTTTCCCTATCAGATATAAAACTTTCATACTGTAGGATTATTTTCCACATACCGTTTAAATTGGTAACGTTCTTACGCCTTTGATGTATTGTGCTTCCTAGTTTCGTTAAATTTCTTCCCTCTTTGTCTATATTAGGTTGGTTTAACGCTAGAGCCATTGTTGCATTAGTATGTGGGTATATATTAATTCAAAGTAATCCTAAAATATAAACAATTTTTCAAACTTTCTGAATATTCTGAATGAATACTGACAGTAATGGAATGTTCTGTTGGTAATTCTATCCACTTTTTGTGCTTATATTTATACCATCAAAATATCTCACTAATATGTTAATGAGTCTATTGTTAATTAATTATTTTTTGTGATACTTATATTTGCGCTAATAAGTGGATCATCAAGATGAATTCCTATAGAATAAAATGCAAATTTAAGTCACATGATAAATTATCCATAGAACTTTTCTGACTATGTTTTACTCAAAACAAATACACCCACTTGCACTAACATCTACCTCCTTAGTGCCGTGAACATTTTAAGTCAAGGCAAAGAAGGTAGTTACTCATAAAGCTACTATAAACACAGCAAAAGCAAACAGTAACCAAACTTGTGAATGTCCAACATAATATGAACCATTATCACGTGTGAAAGTTTCCATTCGGCTGAGAAATATTCCAGCTGCTATGTATGTATGTATGAGGGGCAGACCTTATCGGCCCTTGCACCGCGGCCTACAGACAAGATCTGAGGCTTCTCACGGCGGCGTGTTCATATTTCGAGCTACTGAGTTTTTGTCACCATGCAGTTCTATCGGTAGATACCAACGTTTCGGAGGAATATGTTGCCTCCGTCTTCAGAATTTAATTCGAATGGAAAGTTCTTTCCAATGACGATTAGTCACTTCATTCTCAGACGATTCTCCTGTGCCTCTGCTTAATTTATTAAGCACCACACCATGAAGACGTATGGGGGAGTGGAAGTACAGCTCCACCGCCCTGCCGCTTTAAACCCGGGGGAAATAGCCCTCCGCACCCACTGTATAAGATGCTGGGTCGGCCCCAGAGCCGGTCTGGATGTTACGAAGAAGAAAAAAGCCTCGTTACTCAAATTTCTCAGTCGTCCAGCCGTTACCCTAATCATTACTGACCCCTACAAAAATCTCCCCTCTCCATTGGGCCTGAATTATTAACTTCCACTCTGAAGATGTAGGCAGCATTTTCTTCCGCTAATTGGACTGCATGTAGGCACAACCGTGAAGGACCATAACCTGCTAAACAATGTAACATTTTGTTCTGTATTGGTAAGATTACACCAAGCAGGTTTCGTATTGGAATTCCCCATGTTGTGTGATTACATGTGACCGAGTCTGTGGACACAGGCTATGGGACGAGAATATCTAGAATTATAATTTTTCTTTTTATTATTCATTTACGTGTCTTGTCTTATTTCAGATTCTGGCAGGATCTGCTACTCTGAATCCGTGTTCATCTGTTGTTTGTTACTGGACATCAAGCGACCCGAGTTCGCGATATGTGGTGGACAGACCTGCTCTAGGGCGTATTTCCTCACGTCTTTCCTATTGTAATGTTTTCCTCTAACCTGCAGCACTGACACCTCACGCCTATCACAACCGCCAGTAACAGGGAGAGTTGATGTACTGCAATTGCAATAAATACATACATACTAAACGAATTTATAAAGTGCGACCTTCTAGGAAGTAACTCCATGTAGTCTGGTAGGTGGTTACCACTGCTTCGAAGGAACAACTTCAAGGTTGAATCCTGAAGACTGAGGCAATTTTTTATTCCGAAACGTTGGTAATCATCTATCAGACTTTATGGCGTCACAGAGTGTATAGTCTTAATATTCACTACACCGCGAACTTCAGATCTGGTATGGCTAGAATTTGCCTTTGCTGTGTTTTGTGAGATCAATTTTTTTCGACTTTCTGTTCACCTATGGTCTAATTACTTCAGTAAGATATGAAATGGAATAATATTACAGATATCTGGTAGGCTACTGGACTAACAGTAACATAAGCAATGCTTGCTCTTAAGCAGTACCCAATTTGTAAAGGATTTTCTATACCAGGGGTTCCCAAACTAACGTATCCCATACTGTTTCTGAACGCTGTTTTTGGCCCTGGAGCAGATGAAACATGAACTACCAAACCAATGTTACGATATTACCTCTATCTTTTTACAATCCACTAATTCCTTTGGTTGTGAAGTGACATAATATTTCTTAGCTTTTTTAATTCTTTGGTTTATTTAACGACAACTTCTCTTACGAATTTTAGAAGTAATCATAATGTTTTAAGTATACTCGCATAATTTGTCTAGGGTAAGTGAGGGAGCTTGTGGACATCTGTCATGATAGCTTCTCTCCAACCCGAAATTTTAACCTTTGGTCTCTCGAACTTGAGGCAGGAATGGCAACCATTTAACCCGGATATTCGGGTACTGCATGGGAATTTTATCATTTTGTCTCTTTTGAAGAATGTTGCTCTCTTAATTTAGTGAAATGTAACCTATTTTTGTATTACACATATACTTTACAGCTCATTTTTTCTACTCATTTGTTGAAAGTTGAAATAGTGGCTCAGTTCATCGGTGAATTATCTCATAATTAAAGGTGTGATAAGTCATATTTTTCTGTAACAGAAGAACTTAGCTAAGCACCTGCAAAATGCAGCATGCTCCTGAAATTATTACGCCATATGTCCGTCACTTTGAGCCCAGGTGCCTAACTATATGGACCACTCTTCAGAAGCTAATATCCCTTCTGGTAAGTAGCCTAAACACCCTGCCTTTTATGGGATTCACAGTCATATTACAATATTAACAAACCCCACCACCAGTCACTGTCCTCTCCACCATCCCATATATTTCCTGAAGACCCCTTTTCACATCACTTTCGAATCTACTCCGAGTTCTCCCAAGGTATCTCTTCATGGTCTCCGACTAAAATATCCCGTATATTTCTAATCGCATTCAATTTTATGAGGGGGTAGCGTAGTTGGTTGAGGCACTATGCTACAAGCCGGAAGGTCGCGGGATTGAATCCCGATGAGGTCATTGAATTTGTTCAATTTACCTAATCCTTCCAGCCGTACTATGGCCCTGGGGTCGACTATTCCGTATTCCGTATTGAGGGGGTGGGTTTCCCCATGCACTTAGACCGGTTACTGGTCCATTGTGCGTCCCCTTTTTAATTTCTACTGTCTCCATACCCTACCGGTACTGGTGCTTACTATCAGCCCCTTTCTGCCAGCGAGGTTCCAACCTCTTACTGGCAGTGGTATCTAATAGTTAGTCCCTTTCTGTCAGCGAGGTCGTCCCTCCTCCGGCAGGGGTTCCTAGTCCCTTTCTGCCACCAAGGTTTCTACCCTCTACTTGGCAGTGGTATCTAATACTTTAGTCCCTTTCTGTCAGAGAGGTCCCCCCTCCTCTGGCAGTGGTACCTGATACTTCCCCCATCTACCGGAGGAATTGGAAACTACTTGGGTGGGAAACTTGGCCTAATTTTGCTCAGAGGTCTCCTAGAGACACGAGGTTCTTTTACGTGCCGTAAATCTACGACACGGGACCCACGGCTTAAAGTCCCTCCCGGAGGACTTGTTCCCTGAATTTTTCCGCCCTTAAAAATTCCACGACCTCCGGCGGGTTTTTGAACCCGTGTACCTTGAGTCATGAGGTGGGAACGTTACCCCTAGACTACGGAGGCCGCTTGGGGTCGACTAAGCCTCTAACAGAAATGAGTACCAGGAATATTCTTGGGGGTAAAGGGCGGCCGGCGCGTAGGGCTGACAACCTTACCGCCATCTATGATCTGTGAGCCGATTGCCTAGAAAATGTGTGAACCTCAACATCGCACAACCCTCTGTTACAAGGATACCTTTACTTTTTACTTTATTAAGTTTTAAAGGGATAACTTAAACCAATAATTATTTTTAGGCATAACATCTGTTTTAATAAACTCTTCAATTTTGCTTATTATCCGTCCCGATGCTTGGTGGAAGACCAGGTATGCTGAAACAGCGTTTCAGAATCGAAATGTACAGATTATAATGAAAGGTAAAAGAAAGTGCGCACTTTCATCACAGACGGGACCCGGTACATATTACCTTGCAAATAAAGTACTGCTGTTGTGTAGAAGACAAGGCTGCCGTAATGGTCTAACTTTCTTCTCATCACATAAAGATTTTCACTGTATAACATAGTAGAAATATCTGAAAGTTGTGTGTATGTTACCACTGAATTTCGCTGTTTCACAGAACATATAGGTATTTCTTACATTTGTTTAGTCATTCCATGTATAAACCGTCCAATTACTCTGTGAAATAACAGTAACACATACACTGCGATAAAGTTGGATGAACAATTGGTATTTCGGAGTTCAGAAACTATCACTATCCTTAAAGTACACTGTATATTTTTGGGGTCAAATTTTTGTATAACTTTGATGAAGATAATGCAGCTTATTCTATAGAAGCCATTATTTCTCACATATTACTGACTATTATGTCTGAAATTCTTTGAACGACATTCACATACACACAGCCATACAAATTCAACAACAGGAGTCAACATCACTAATTGTTCATTAAATAAATAACCACTATTAATGGTAAGAGGCTGCATTAACACTTGCATATTGTCTGAAGTCTGCACTTCCTTATTGTCTTTGTATGTTGTCTTCAAAGAACAATGACCAACGTTTGCTAAAAGAAGCAATCATTATATGACTCGTACTTATTTCCTGGGAATACCACATATTGTAGTTTATCTCACCAGAGAAAAGAATTTAAGAACTATCACAAATTCTGAATCACGTCTTCCACATATCTGTGAATGTGGTATCTCCCAGAACCAACATGTTTTACAAAATTATATTATATTCAAAATGAACTGAGATGGCATCAGTTCTACGAACATTTGATATTCTAAAAAATATCCGCGGTCAGACTGGTTTTTGGCATGGAGCATTTGAATATTTACAGACAACTGTAAGATTAAATTGAAATTTACATAATATTAAAATTCTTGTTACTTTTAATGCAGATACCATTCTTCAGCCAAGTTCCTATGGGACAATAAGCGTCACTATGTGTCGTGGGTCGGATTTGAACCTCCTTCCCTGTTTTCATCATTATAAACACGCTTGGTGACGCCCTCTACATTCATAGCAGTTTCTGAGGTTAATCAAGGCTTTCATCGTGGACAGAAACCTCGGCAATAAGGCCAAGAAAATGGAATCATTCTGATCTGTTACGGCTCTCTCGCTGGGATACAGCAGCCTCGAAATCCCAGCATTTTGCATGTGCTTGCTTCTCTAGCCTCCCGGCGCCGACACCAAGTTCTTGGCCGCTTTCCTCCACGATCCCCCAGTGCAGGTGCCTGGTCCACGCCACCAGTCGTTGACGTCCCGGTAAGACTTGTTGGGGAAGTCATCATGTAGCATGGCGCACAGGCGACAGAAGAAATACGTGTTGATGAATTCTCCTGTGCCCTTCCACTTGAAGTATGAGTTGTAGAGGTCATCGTCTGCGTCCAGGCGGTGCAAGTACGCAGCAAGTTCCTGGGGCGATTCGAATTCGTCCACGTGGATATAGGAGCGGTATGGAGCAGTGCGGGCATAGTCTTCAGGCCGGGCTCCCATCACAATCGGCAAGACATTGCGGCTGGAACAGCCAGAAGAACATTAAACTCAGATCAGAACCCTACCACTACCAACACGGCGATGCGGCCGGTAGAGTCATAACAGATACAACTTGCTGCTCTACAAATGAAGATACTGCCAGGTGTTAGTGACCAGACACGGGGTTTGGATTTACTGAACACTTATAACTCGTAACTACAAGTAACTATAAAAGTTTCACGGATCTACACACTATACAGATCATTGTACTGCAGCACACATAAAGTCTTCTACGTCTTCACCAGTCGTTGCTCGCTAAAATGGGTATTTCTCTGCTTCCATGCTCATGTCGTTACCGTTACCAAGCAATGGCTGTCTCCTTCAGTCATCATGTCACAACATACGAACACCATTTCATCAGTTGCTTTGTATGCGGTCCATGTGAGAACGCAAATGGCTAGTGTTCAGAAACAAAGTGTTCAGGAAAATATTTAGACCTAAGAAGGCTGAAGTAGGTAGGATATGTAGGATATTTGATCCTCGGAATCCTCCACGATAAACTTAACAGCAATAACGTGATATGTTAAGACCGGCGCAGTTGAAGCCGTCCAATAGGACACTTGGGAAATCTCACAGATGAACACGGAAGCGTTGAGTAGAATGGTAGAAGGTGAAGGAAACTGAGCAAGTCGGGCCAGTAACAATAACAACAACGCCATGCTCATTGCAGCTGGTCTATCGTAAACAAAATAACTTACCCAAGGCCATTCACAAAGAACTTTTCGGTAATGTAGTCCTTGCAGTTGGAGTTCTCGAAAGCGAGGTAGAACTTGTAGTCTCGATCCAGCATGTCGAAACACTTGGCAGCCGTGGAGCGTGGACACTTCTTGCTGCCACAGGCACCGTAGATGTCCACAGATATGTGCTTCTGCAGTTCGTGTGCATACTGTAGCCTGCGGTTTCTGGCGCCGCAGTTTGATACGAACCACGCAACCTGAAATGCCCCACAAGTCGTCATAAAAGAGAGGAACCTACGACAGCCGAAATTCGAAAAGAATTCCTCCCATACGCAACTTAAGGATGCATAGGACATATTTAAAAATGGTACAAAATGGATAAGAATTTGTACAGATCATTCGTTTTTTTTTTGAACCCCCCCCCCGAATCGAACTCAATTCACTAACCGGTTAAAAAATCACTTCACTTTTAATTTTCACTAAATTTACACGTGATGTTATGAAAGGTCGTCGCCTCGTTAATTATAGTAGATGAAAAACACGTAAAAAATGGTACATGAGTTTACTTACTTACTCACTCACTCATGGAGCTGAGCCCTTCTTGAGGAGCCGCCAATTCTGCAGCTACTCAAAAATTTCCCAGCATTTTATGGAATTGGATTTATTGATTGGGGAGGTCTACCCCCATGTTAAATCTTTTGAAACTGGGCTGTTTTTTTTTTTTTATTTTCATTGAGACGAACGAATTGTTATGTACAATGAGACAATCATACGTGGGATTGAACGGACATGCCTGTTTACCCATTACCTCTACCCCGCTGTAGAGGGAACTGGGTAAAAACCTAGTCCTAAATGAATCTTCTGACGAAGTTTCGAAAGCCGTTACCTGCTGAATGTAAGTCAGCACTCTGACACTAGGTTTCCTACAGTTCAGTTGCACCTTAGTGGCGCCATGAAGCCACGCATAACCTCAAATTGAAATGTAAACATCTTTGATGAGTTGCGCCATTATTTTGTCTGTTTGTTTGCTCATTCCTTTCCATATCAATTTCTTCAGCCGTGTTTGTTGTTGAATGAGGGCACAGCACGTCGGAAAAGGTGACATCTGTTTATTCGTCCGTATCTCCAAAGTCGCCGTTTACAATTGCCATCAATCTTCTCATCAGGTCTGCATAACGTTAGACATTAACGCGGCGCCGACAAAATAACCCCCAAAATAAACAGCATACCAAGGTGCACTGATATTTATTGCTACGTATCAATTACCGTGTACTACTCACGTCACTTAAATGGAGCTTGAAGCAGAAAGCAAAGCAATGAGCAGATTAGCTGAACGGTATTTGTATTCGGGAGATACTCGGGTTGAGCCTCTGCAAGAAGCAGACCAACTGATTATCCTGCGATTATTCGTGCTTCTTTTCAATTCACCGATATAAAACCAGTATCTTCAAATAAGCCACGACCTCTTTCTTGTTCGCCATCATTTCAGGTTCACGCTCTGCAGCTCTTAGAGCATCGGTATAATCAACCAAAGAATTTGATCGCCTGAGTACAGACCTAATATACAGTAACTGCAGAAAAGGGAGACAGCAGGTTTTCCCAGCGGAGAGAGTGACGTTTGCTGTAATGTAGGATGTATTTCCTGAATGTGGAGGCAGAAGTATCCATCGAAACGTTGGTAACCTTCTACCAGACTATAAGGTGTCACATCCTAGAAGATAGTGATCTTCATAATTACAAGTAAGTTTAACTGAGAAATATTTATTAATTTAAATATTTGCGTTTCCATATATTATGAAAGATATAAAAACACAGAGACTGAAGGTGGAGTTGGAGTTCGGTGAAGAAGAGAGTTTTCCAGTTATTGTCGGGCTCTTATTTCTGAAATGATTCTGGCTTAATTCCTTCCTTTTTCCAGTGGACACTCGGCCTGCACTGCGCGCACAGCATCTGTGCTGCTGTTTTAATTGCGCTATAAACCTCTGACTTTGGGGCCGCGCCATAGCTCAAGCGGTTAGAAGCTGGCTTCTCACCGCGGGGGCCCGGGTTCCATCCTGGGTCTGGTCAAGTGGGATTTGTGGTGGACAAAGTGGCGCTGGGGCAGGTTTTCTCCGAGTACTTCGGTTTCCCCTGGCAATCTTCATTCCACCAACTGCTCCACAATCACCCTCACCTATCATCTGGGGCTGGTACAATAGGCCAGAAGTGGCCGCAGTACAAGGGACTTAGTCCCACCCCACTAGCAATAAGCACGTTACCGGTGTATTCTATAAGGAGCCTTCCCGTAACAACTGACTGTCTGAACAGCGTTAACCGAACCGTGAGAAATGGTGTCCGGTATCCGGTCCGCGTAACCTCTGTACAAGCAGAGCTTACGGCACGTACAGAGTATTGGAGGATTGGAGTATTGAGAACGAGACAATCTTGGGATAGCAGCCGCCAGAGATAGTTGAGATCCAACCACGGCCAAGGATAGTTCAAACGTCGCATTAGAGTATTGGGCCAGAAGTCAAGTGATATTGCAAGCGATATTAATTGTAAGGTGTGTAAGTGTGAGTGTCCAATAAAGATTCGCTAGATCCGAGACCCACGTGAAGTTATTTGTCGTGTGACATACCCAACACATGACATTATTTAACGTCAGTTTAGTATGTAGAATACCGGTCTAGAAAACCGAGATTAACGGCCGTGGGGATCCGTTGCGCTGACCACACAACACTCTATCCGCAAAAGTTGGCACTAACTTCGCTGACAAGCGGCGGTAGTTCGGTCGGTATAGTTCGCTTGCGGACTAAAGGCCACGGAGTTCTAGTAGTATGTAGAATAACAGCAAATACTGGAGCCTTCATGTAAAGCGGCTGTTAAACTCATTAGATCGAAATGAAAACTGCAACAGCTCGACAAGTTATCGTAAAATTGTAGAACATCAGATTTCATGAAAATGAGTGCGGCGGCTTCGAGTTGTTTCATGCGGAGAGATGAACAAATGGACGGACTGAATGATCTTAATGGGCCGCTCCGTGAGAATGCGAACGCATCTAAAAACGCCTATTCAGCAGAATAGAAATGATCTATCAGCGTTCTTTTCTTCAGGCAGTAACATTATTTTAATCTCACTGCTAATCAGACTGTATTTGTGATGTAAGTGTATGCCTACACTGAAATATATACATAGTTTGTTCTTGGAATATTAACGTGGGCCAGTTTCAAAGTATGTATCTGGCCGGATCCGACCCGCGGTCCACGTTTATCACACCCATCATTTACAGAAATGTCTAATATCTCAGATAAATAACAGAATACGTTTATTCTACACTTCCGTAAATTTTTCTCAGAATATTACATCGTGTTAAGCAAAAGTTTCGTAAGTAATCGCGTGGGTGCTGATCAGTTCAAACAGCGCCAGCGCCACCGCTCACGGCGAAGTGCTAAACGTCTGCTAAGAGTGCGCCTCTGTTTCACACCATCGACTTGAAGAATACAAGGATGCAGAGAAGGTTGCCTTGTCGCCCTGCCAGACCTGGACGCACTGTTTCGTGAGACAACAGTGCAGGATGGGCATGAGATAGAATGAGAAGTAGGAGCACAGAGAAGGAAGTAAATGAAGGAAGTGAAGAAGAATAAAATGAAAGAGAAGAAGAAGGAAGACGGAAAGTGGAGAAAAATGGAAAATAGGCCAAGAAGTATCATCAACATAATAAGAAAAAGAACTCCAGAAATGAAACAAGAAACGAAGAAGTCGAATTACGTGGACGAATAAGAAAAAAATTAAAACAGAAGAGAATATGTAGGAGGAGGAGGAATTGGTGGTAGAAGAAAATGAAGAAAGAAAGCTATATTTTATGTAATCTGCATCCCTATATAGTTCAGAAAACCATCCCTATACAAAAGCTACGGCGTCTACGAGATGGACGGCCGGGGTTCGATTCCTGGTAAGGGTAAGAGATTTTTCCCTTCTCCACAGCGTGCAGAACGATTTTGAGGTCCACCCAGCCTCCTATCAAATGGGTTTCGGGGGGATATTTTCATGGGGATAAAGCAGCCGGGGCGTGAAGCTGACTACTTACCTCCATATAGTGACGAGATAAAGAATGGTGGAGCTATACCTCCACTCCCCTACCTGCTAACCTGCTAAAGATAACTAATCGTAATGATTTTGGCCTGAGAGAGTTGAACAGAAAATGTTCGAGGAAACACCGAGGAAGTTATTGCTGTACCCCAATCGCCAACTTAAGGGTTAAGAGGGCCTATACAGGGTGTCCCAGGAGGAATGTGCCAAACTTCGGGAGGGTGTTCCTTATGTTAAAGTATGCCGATATAACCCAAAACACCTATGTCCAAAGTTGAACGGTTACGGAGATAATGGCCCGAGAAAAGTGTGGTCTTCTTGCAGGTCCACGCACTATACGTACCTGTCAGCTGAGACCCTTATCTGTTTGTCCTTGAGTGCCGCGAGTCACACTAGCGTAAGCTCATGCGCTGCCTACAGATTACGTTGCGTTGGGGTCGTGAATGGGTGGTAAATTAGTTGTGTGATGAGTTGCTGAAATGCCTTTTGTGTTTTCACACGTCGAGTATTGTGATATGCATTTTGTGTATGGATTTTGCGGTGGCAATGCACGTGCTGCTGTTGAAGAGTACCAAAGGCGTTTTCCCGAT